GAATGGGTAAGGCAATGAAAGAAGAAATTGACACAATGAAGAAAAGAAAGGTTTGGGAATTAATCGAAAAGCCAGAAAATAAAACTATGCTAGGAAACAAATGGGTCTATACGCCAAAAAGAAATTAAAAGAATCAAGTGGTTAGATACAAAGCACGTTTAGTAGCACAGGGATTCAGGCAGAAAAGAGGTGAAGATTTTGATGATGTTTACAGTCCTGTAGTAAATTTTTCAATCATAAGAATATTTTTCACTATACTGGTATGTTTATATGGATGAACTAATTGTCAGTAAGATGTAAAGAACACATATTTATATGCAAACCTAAATGAAAAAATATATATGACCCAACCAGAGGGATTTATCAAAGAGGAAAATAAAATGTGTTTATTACACAAGGCCATTTACAGTCTACATCAAAGCGGCCGCGAATGGTTTTGTGAATTTGAAAGTACTTTAGAAAATCTACATTTTAAGAAAATAAAATGGTGTAATTGTATTTATAAGAGTTCAAATGTAATTCTCTTGTTACATGTAGATGATATTGTGATTTTTAGTAAAGATCAATATAGTATAGATAAAGAATTTCACAGCTGAGTAAGTTTTTTATCTTAAAGTATTAGGCAAAACTAAAACGTTACTTAGAATTGAATTCTTAACGAATGAGAATGGGGTTTTTGTACATCAGCAAAAATATATTGGAGAAATTTTTGAAAAATTTAAACATTTCCAGATACCAATAACTTCACTTCCCATAGCTAAAGGTACTATTCTTACAAAATTAGATTGTTCATCTACATGTGCAGAAATGCATACATTATCTTTTAGAAATCTGTTGGGATGTTTAGTTTTTGTAGCTAACAGGACAGGGCCTGATATTATATATGCAGCGAATATCTTATCACAATTTCAGGAGAATCCTGGAATTAGGCATTGGGAAGCATTATTGAAATTGCTTGGTTATCTCAATAGTACTAAATTATATATGTTAAACTTATCAAAGATTAAACATCTAAATTTATATTGTTATTCAGATGCTGATTATGCAAGTAATAGGGATGACCGCGTGTCCATAGGAGAATTTATATTATATTTAGAAGAAGTACGGTAATCTGGAAAACTGTTAAACAAAAATGTGTAAGTTTATCAACCATGGAAGCTGAGTATATCGCCCTATCGGAGGCAGCGAAGGAATTAATGTGGACGAAAAATGTCTTACAAGATGAAATTTTAAAGTTTAATTTAAGATAATGTAAACTATTTTGTGATAACAAGTCTGCCATTGATTTTTCTACATCGCCAATAGAAAATCGCAGAACTAAGCACATAGACATAAAATATCACTTTATTAGAAGACTAGTAAATGATGGAGTGTTTGACCTTGAATTCATCACCAGTAAATTAAATACTGCGGACTTATTTACAAAAGCGGCGACTGCTGTTAATTTAAGGAAGTTTTGTTTAGATGTTTTCAGTGTTTAAAGACAATAAGTGATTTTGGATAATAGAATTAAACTATGAACTTCTGTAATTCTGTGTAAGTTTTGTTTTTGTCTTTGCATGAGGAAAAGAGGGCCATTTGTTGGCTTGAGTTTTCCTTATGCAAATTTTGATCGGAGGTCAATCGGCGGTAAGCTAACGTGGTTGCCACTGATTGGCCGATGACGTCAAGATCAGCGGGTTGGCCGAGTATTATATATATGTACGCCGGTATCGGTGAATGTGTGTATTATGAGTTAGCATTATGCTAGTTTTCTTTCCCTCAAATGGTTTTAAATGTAAAGGCTACAGTGTTAACTTATTTTATTTTAATTTACTGAATAAAGCATGAATTTTATTTAGATTAGTCTTAGCTTTATTTAAGGGAAGCAAAATATGCTTTGCCTTTATCGCCACTGCCAACAAGTTGTACCATTGTTCGTGACTTTATCATTTGCGCCGGCAAAATGGAAAAGTAAGCTGCAAAGAAGAGAGGAAGTGTGTAATGCCCAGCTTCTGCAATTATCTGATTTTTTTTTTTTTTTTTTTTCAAATAGGTCGATGTATGCATGGAAAAATTTAAGGCAATGCCCAGTTTGTGCAATTCTCTGATGTTTTTTTAAGTTAAAATAGGTCGATGTGTACATGGACACCGAGCTTGTGTAAGTCTTTGACTTCTTGTTTTGGTTTTGCATAGTGGGCGGAAGGATCAGCACCATCTTGAAATTGGTGCTGATCTTGGCATCAAAAAAAGAGAAGGGGTACCATAAATTTTAACCGAAAAGGTTTCCAACGCAGATTCTTCACCAAACAACTGATGTTCATTCCATGTTACAGAAGGATCATATGAAAACTGATCTAGGAGTAATTTACAGAAGATCAGATTTCCAAAATATGACTGGTGCTATTAGTCTTCTATAATTTATTATAGAAAACAACTTACAGAGTACGTCTTCCAAGACCTACAAACTTGCAGTGTGTAATGCCCAGCTTCCAATGACCCTAATTATTGTTACTATTCCAATGACCACTGCTGAAGCTGAGAGATTCTTCTCAATTCTAAAATCAGTTAAGATATTTTTAAGAGGAACTATGAGCGAAGACAGGCTAAATACCCTAGCTATGCTCTCAATTGAAAAATGCACGATAAATGACAAACTAAATTCAATGAAAACATTATTGATTTGTTTGCTGCAAAAAAAGACAGGCAAGTGGATTTAATTTACAAAAAATTGCATTTGACTATTCTGTAATCAACATTCGAAGATATACTGTAAGCAACATTATGGTTTATTGCATTCTACTGCAAGAAATAAAATGCTAACTTTTTTATTTATTTATGAGAACTAGTTTTCTTTTAGGTGCACTGTTTTCCTTTAATTTGTGAAAAGACAAATGTATTAGTTACATTGTATCTGCATGTTTAACTTTTGAAATTTGTTTTGTGAACCTACATTAACATAACCTATGAGTTGCCATTGTTTGTATGGGATAGCATGGCTGAAACAGCACTACATAAATCTGGTCTTCATTGAAACTCTAATGGATAATTTAAAATATGTCAACAATTTAACAGAAAACCTGAAAACATAAGCACAAATAATCACTTATCGGAAATAGTTTCTAACTGTACCAAAACGATAATCCTAAATATAAATTTTAAATGTACACTTCTACTACTGCTGTGAAATAACAAAACTGTTTCACCAATCTCTACATTTGAATCTAATAATACAAATTTGGACAGAATTTGAGGTATGAATAAGAAAAGGTAACATTGCATCAGGAAGTCAATTGTAATAAATGATGACACAAAAATAGAATTATATTCATGTCATAATTAAAAAGTATTAGTTTGTTCACTGCCAAACTAGTCATAATGTGCAATAAAAGCAAGAGGTAAGCCCCGGTTAGAAAATACAAAAGTTCAACATTTTCTAGTTCAAGCAACATTTTCACTGCCACAAGTTCTTCAAAGATTTGTGTTTTCGTACTGGTATCTAGCTAACTCTTAACTTTTTAACGATTGTTAAATTATTGATTTGATAAAAGTCACACTATATTTTGTAAAATATATATATAAACAGATGATGGAAAAAAATACCATAACTTAACCTCCTTACATTAGTTATACTGCAGAATCATTGTAACTATTCTGAAAGTCATTGCATATAATCATATTACATAAATAAAAACATAACCTACAGCAATATTAGTATTTGATGAAATGAAAATTTTTTTATAATTTTCATCTTTTCAGAGACAGGTTATGTTTGTAGTGGAAATGACAAATAGTTGCTCTTATACAATAAGAGAGTAATTTTTTTTTCCTTAACTCTATGTTGATAACTAGAATTGGTTTGAACAATATATATTATTTGATGGTTAATCTTATGATCATATTACTAAATTATTATCTACAGCATGTGATGTAGTCTCAAAAGTTCCTTCATGTCAATTATTTCTCACAAATATAAAATTAATCTTAGGTGAAAAAATCTCATTTTAAAAACAGCAAATCAGTTAGATTTGCTGTTTTTACTATTTAACTGCTTAAGCATATAAAAATACTTTGCTTACATATAAACATGCAGCATTTTGTTTATTATATATTAATATTGTAAAGACACAGTGGTATAAACATCACATTCAGAACTTAATATATTAAAAAATTTTTAAATGACATTCAGCTATATTACTATATGCAAAAAAAAAAAAAAAAAAACACTAAAGAAGGCTATTTAAGCAAAATTGATCAATGCGTAAGTAAATAAAGATAGTTAAATAATAGTTAGGCCAATAAAGATAGTTAACGCATAAAAATATGCACAAATAGAAATAATAAAACGTTGCTTTTGATTAAATCAAGAATTAGTACTTTTGCAAAACAAGATAAATATTTTTACGTTGTTTTATGCCTTTGGATATTTAAGAACACGTAAAAGACTTAAGTAAGAATCGCCAGTCATGCAACCCATTAGCAAATAACGAATTTACCTGTAATAATACCAACATAAACATTCACAGAGAACAGAAAAAGCCTAATAAAAGTAACACTCGCATACATTTTAATACAGAAAAGTCATTTTAAAATCTTCATTATTATTATTATTAAACACGAAAGAATACTTTTTATTATTATTTTTCAGCGGGAAAAATGTCAATTTACTCATTTTCCGCTTCAACGATTACGAGGGGAGGCATTTAAATTCTGGTATGGCGGTTTTAAATTTGTGAAGTTTCATTATGTGTAGTTTGTAAACAATCACATACGGGTTTTATTCTCAAGCAATCAATTTGTACTGGATGTTCATAATTTTTATTACAACTCATATTTCACTTTCAGATCTCAAAAGATGTTGAGACTAACGGGGTCCACTAATAAATTTCCGATATGTAACCGTAACGCGTTTTCAATACAATTCCTACTACTGCACTAGCATGATCAAAAAATGTAATTCTACGACAATAATACCTTCGTATTAACAAGAATAGTAATGAATGTTAATATTGGTCACTCACCAAGAATATAAAGTATTTCTTTGCTCCATTTATGCAATTCTTTACGAAATACACGTCGCTCATGGGAGCAACGAGAAATAGTACATTCCGCCATTTTTCGCCTTCACCCTAACCATGACGTCAGGAGGAACCGGAAGAATCTGTAAAGGCCCAACGTCACTACTTTTGGCAAAGACCCGTACAAAGTAAGCAAAAAAAAAAAACAATTTCCCCCCCCCCCGAGCATATGTCCTAGGGTTACTTCGCTGGGTAGGAATAATTTCACCTGAACAGAAGTTAGAAGAATGCATGTGATGCAACCTGAATAATCTCTAGCTACTTAAATTGTTTCCACATTCCACCTTAAAAAATAAAGAAAAAAAAAAACTTTATACGGTGACCATTTTTTTTTTTTAAAGTATGTGTAAAAGTGCGACTTTTTTTTAAGACTGAACGTATTATTTTGCGTTTGCTTTTGCAATTTATATGCGTTTCCGTAAACAGAGATGAGGAGTTTTCGAAGTTTCTCCGTCGTGTCCCCGTTTTTGTCTAATATAAAATGAAGACAACAGTTCATAGAAAAAGTTACTTCATAAAAAATCTGCAAATTCAGTAGAATCGTAATTCCAAGGTTGGTAATTGTTTATATATATATTAATTTAATCATTTTTCATGTGTATGAATGCATCAGAAGCGTTTTCAAAATGTTAAACTACGTCACTTTTTACTATTTTGGTTACTTGAAAGAAGTTTTATATGTGTACTTCTAAAGATTATCCATCATTTGCTAGGGGCAGGATGTTAAAATAGAAGCAAAATTAATTCTATTATTTCGTATTGTGGTTGCACAATGAATTGAAAATTATATTCAAAAGCCACTTATTGCTGTTAAATTTGAGTATTAAGAATCTTAAAAGTTTAGTAATACTGCATTAATATTTGTTTAGTTTAATGTTTAGTTTGTTAATACTTTTATGCTCTCTTGTATTTAGTATTGTCATATTGCTAACATCAGGAGTATTGAAGACTTACAACCTATTTCTGAAAACAATTTATGTAAAATACATTTGCTTATTCTGTTATCTGAGTTATTTACATAGTACATAGTTATTAAATACTGTTGTATCAAATTATAGGAAACGACTCATAAAACTATTAAAAAATTCATATCTGGAAATATTCATTGTGCATGATAAATGCATGCGCTGGTAAAATTCACTGAAGTGATATAATTAAAAGAGAGGATCTGGGAATAATTTTTCTTTTATGAAATTATTTTGTATAAATTTCTTGTGTATTTGTTTCTTGTATAAAAAATTCTCTCAATGTATTGTATAGATTACCACAAAAAGAATAAAGTTAAAAAAATGTGTTCTGGCTCGAGTGTAGAATTGGGATCATATTCAATACATTTATCTGTATATGTAGAAAACACTTCTATTAAAAATACTGGCTCTAGTGTAGAATTGGGTTGTATATGTAGAAAACACTTCTACCAAAAATACTGGCTCTAGTGTAGAATTGGGTCACCCAATTCTACCTACGCTAGCTATTTAAATCAGATTTTAATTCTACCTACACTAGCTATTTAAATGCCAAATCTGTAACAATATATTTTTACGGGTGCCCCTTGGCAAAAAATGGGGTTGATCTTTACATTATGGTAACTTGGCGTTTTTTTGGCGAAAATTTGGCGACCAACTCTCCTACAGCAACCCTCTATTTTTTTTTTCCCGCCGCCATTTTGTCTTCATGAAGTAAAGACGTGTCTTTTCTTTTTATCTACTGAACACTTCTTCCAACAATCTACTAGCCGAATTACACCACTTCTGCTAGAAATTTTATCTAACAAAACTGCTTAATCATGACAAATATTCACTGAAAAATTGCGAAAAGGTGCACAATACCATACTCCTTACGCGTTTTTCAAAATAACACATACACATAAACCATGTACATGCCGACTTATTTTTACTTAAAAAAAATCCCAGAATTGCACAAAAATGGCATTGCGCACACTCTTCACTATATCCATGTACACTGCTTTTTTCTCATAAATTAGAAAAATTTCACGGAAATACATGACAATTTTTCTGAATCTTTAAACCCGGTAAAAAGAACATATATGAAATTACCTGATCGTGAAAAGTATTTACCCTTTCCAATATGAACATTTCCACATATAAAATAAATAAAATATCCAAAAACTTTTACCTCTAAATCATCTATTACATTATACATGTCACCAACGAATTCATACCGCAAGCATTACAAATACTTAGTATATCAAATATTTAAATTATTTCCATGCACGTTTACTTCAATTAAACGTATACCAAATTCCTACAAACATAAAATTCACAAAATAAAAACTATCATTTAATTAAAATATCACTAAACCATGTACACGTCGACTTATTTTTACTTAAAAAAACATCCCAGAATTGCACAAAAATGGCATTGCGCACACTCTTCACTATATCCATGTACACTGCTTTTTTCTCATAAAATTACAAAAATTTCACGAAATACATGACAATTTCTCAATCTTTAAACCCGGTAAAAAGAACATATATGAAATTACCTGATCGCGAAAAAGTATTTACCCTTTCCAAATATGAACATTTCCACATATAAAATAAATAAAATATCCAAAAACTTTTACCTCTAAATCATCTATTACATTATACACGTCACCAATGAATTCATACCGCAAGCATTACAAATACTTAGTATCAAATATTTAAATTATTTCCATGCACGTTTACTTCAACTTAAACGTATACCAAATTCCTACAAACATAAAATTCACAAAATAACTATCATTTAATTAAAATATAATTAAATTCAAAAACACTTCTTAAAATATAAATGAGCACATACATTAAATTAATAAAAATTACCTTACAATCCTAATTACTTTAAACTAAATCATTGCTAATAACAATTTTCCAAATAATACCAATTCCTTTACTTCCACCTTACATTTAGAACAATGCATAAAAATAATATCCTCAAATATTTAAAAATACTAACTTACCTCATCTTCTTCAGAATCTTGATTACGTGTCGATAAACTTTCTTTAGTTACGGCCATGGGATCCAAAAATTAATCGAACACTCGTTTCACAACACACACATGAAGCTTAATACTGCAGCTATAGTACTGCAGATGTTTTTCCAAGATTTATCCCCTTTTCCGATTAAAGAACTGTAATTTATTTCGTCCATTAATGTCACATGCCATATCTCATGATCTCTCATTTCCCTCACACAAAATAATGCGTAATCGGAACTGAGTACTGCTCACATTATTACCAAAGTCCCAGGTCTCCAAACCTTTATCGCCTCCAAAATGTCGCCAAACTACCAGTTACCATATTGTAAAGATCAACCAAAAATGGCTATTTTGGGTGGTATATGGACATAGAGTTTGTATAATTCTTTGACTTATTATTTTGACTTTGTGTAGTGGCGAATTTTTGCGTCAAAAATTGTCGCTGCACAAAGTCAAAATAACAAGCTGAAGAATTGCACAAACTCGGTATGCATGTACACATCGACCTGTTTTTCACTTAAAAAAAAAAAAAGAAAGGAATTGCACAAACTTGCCATTGCGCACTCCTTCAGCATAGAGCAATTATTATAATGAATTAAATAAATATGTTAATTGTTTATTATTATTATAAATGAATATTAAGAAATTTCTCTCTTTTTTTTTTTTTTTTTAACTTAAAACTTAAACTTAAATTTTAACTCAAACATAAAGGAAAGAAGATATATAATAATAATTAATAATAATGGATGTCTCACTTTAAAGGTACTGAAAGGCTGTGGAAATAGGTAGGGAACAATACAGATGGAAAAAAGTTCCTACTACATAATTCATGTCCGTGAATGTTAAATGTTCATACGTGTTTGGGCTCCGGCTGTGTCTGAAGCAGTCAATTTCCCATTCTAGTTGGCGATATTCATTTTGCACTTTTCATGCCTCAAAAGTACAACATAAAATATATATTAGGTTTTTATGTAGCATTTTAATATGTAAAAGGTTGCCACGCTACCTGAAACACCGTGAAAAGTCAGGGAATTCGAAAATTGACTAAAAAGGTCTGGGAGTTTAAATATTTTAGTCAAATTCTGGAAAAATCGGGGAATTTCATATGGCAATTCCCCAAAAAAGCGATTTTTAATCCAATGTTATAAGCGATCACTTTTTTTTTAAATTATGTATGGTGTGAGCATCATTCGGGCAGCTGACATAGATCCCATTTTCACAGCTCTAATTAGTCTTTTAGAAAGGCAAAGCAAGTTTCCAGCAACCTCGAGAATTGAGATATACACACGTGCAGTGCATGTTCCCCCCCCCTCGATGGCAGATTGTGAACAGTTACAGTATAATGCAGACCATTAATCTATACAAGGCCAGATGTGGTTGTCTCTCTGTTATGGAGGCACCTGATAGGTGGGCCGCGATCACCTCCTATGAGAGGACAGTTACAACTGTGCCTTCTCTGGGATTCGAACCTAGGCCTTTTGGTATGGCAGTCAGGCTTCCCTAGCCACTATACTCTCTGGGTGGCAAGTGCATGTGCAGTGCATGTGGAACGAAAGAAAATATCGGCTGATCTTTGGAATATGGTAACAGGTAGTTTGGCGACATTTTGGTAAGGCGATAAAGGTTACTAACTAGGACTTTAACAGTGTACATGGATATAGTCAAGAGTGTGCGCAATGCCATTTTTGTGCAATTCTGGGATGCTTTTTTAAGTGAAAACAGGTCGACGTGTGTGTACGTTGATGATACAGTGTGTGTGCAATTCGTAAAAACGTGGCAAGCAGTGGGGGATTCTGCACTTTGTCCTAATTTCGCACCTAATCTTCGTCATGATTAAGCACTTTTGTTCCATAAAAGTTCTAGCATAAGCGTAATTCGACTAGCAGATTGTTGGAAAAAAATGCTGAGTTAAAAAAAAAAAAAAAAATACACGATTTTAACTTTGTGAAAACAAAATGGCGTCCAAAACAAAACTAGCAGATTGCTGTAGCAGGGTTGGTCGCCAAATTTTTGCCAAAAAATTGTCAAGTTAACATAATCCAAAGATTAACCAAAATAC